ACGTGGTGAAAGGAGGAATCCACAGTTTTTTGTTGAAAGACATGTCCATCACACTGTTGGAGTTATGGTTTGGGGTGCTATAGCTTATGGTTCCAGGTCACCTTTAATCTTCATCAGAGGTAACATGAACACGCAGCGTTATATCCACGAAGTTCTAGAACTCCATCTTTTACCCTATCTTGACACCCTGGCAGATCCAACTTTCCAACAAGATAATGCCCGACCACATGTTGCAAGAGTCACAATAGACTTCTTTCAACATAATGATGTCACATTGTTACCATGGCCACCAAGAACTCCCGACTTATCCCCAATTGAGCACGTGTGGGATATGATGGGTAGGAGATTGCTCAATTTGCAACGTCCTCCTCAAACTCTAGAAGCACTTCGAGAGGAGTTGGTGGTTGCCTGGAATGAGATACCACAGGAGGACCTTGACCACCTGATCAGAAGCATGCCTAGGCGCGTTGGAGAATGCGTAGCACATCAGGGTGCATCCACACATTATTAAAGGTCAAAGGGCTTTAAAGCAGTGCAATCATTTTGAAATTTTTATCATTTACTTATTATGCTTCATTAAGTACTTATACAAAATTTTATTAAAATAAAACCATTTAAACTGGGTGTTCGGATTTATTTGTCACTTAGTATAGTCATTTTTAGAGCGTTAGTGAATTAAAAGAAAGCAGTATAAAAACCGGAATGTCCAACTGATAAGGCTGAACATTTTTTCACTTGTTATTTACAGTAAGATAAATACATTCACCAACTTTTATTAAAATAAAACCATTTAAACTGGGTGACCGAATTTATATGTCAATTAGTATATGTCAAGTATGACTCATATTTTGGTATGTCATGATCGAAGATCGAACAGCGATATCATTTCATTTTGTTCTGCTTATACCCTACATGCAGAATTTCAGACCGACAAGCCGATCTCTAACAAATTGTGAAGAATAGTGCACCTCGCTCGAAGAATCACAGCTGGAAATTTTTGATAGCGTACGTTTAGTGGTACGGCCTTTCTCCCCATAAACGAGTCCGTCGAAAAACACCATAAAAGTAATGATATCGTTATTAGTATGAGACTCTCCATGCTCACGACGTTCCTCTCTCGCTTGGTCACGAAACCGCAACGCTTCGCGCAAAAAGTGAATTCTGGGTTTTCGAGTCGCCTAATCATAGAGCGTCGATAGGAAAATTGGTAAATTGCCATTCGGGATAACAATTTAACAATTGCCATATCGCCAATTTGTGAGGTTCAAGAGCACGAAGACGAAAATATCCCCTGTACTGTATTGAAATATTGAGAATAAAATGCTTACGTATAACTAGAGCGAAGTCTCTGGTACTTGATCTATAACCTCGTTAGATAATCATGAAAAATGGAGCCGTGATTCTCAAACAAATTTTGTGATTGTGAGGAACAGGCACTTTGTCAAGCTAGTAAAAATATCACTCTACAATCCACTGGGATGGCAAATATGGTGTTGTCCAAAACGGAAGCAGGAAAGTAAATGCATATTAAAACAAGAAAAATTTATATTCAAATCAAGTTGGGTACTTTATTTTGAAGGTTCATTTATACCATTTATGTATGAAAAATAATATCGCTCAAATGTTCACCACGACTGGATTTACAGACGTCCACGCGATGGTCGAAATTTTCAATGACATTTTGCAACATGGTCGGTTCTATGCCATTTATCTCGGCAATGATGTTGTTTTTGAGTTCTTGGAGGGTGGCTGGTTTGTTGACGTAGACTTTGCTTTTCAAATATCCCCATAAAAAGAAGTCCAAGGGAGTCTCAAATCGCACGATCTTGGTGGCCATGGCACATTTCCTCTGCGCGAAATCACGCGATCACCGAAGAAGGACTGCAATCGATGGATATTGACGTTGGTTGTGTGGCATGTTGCACCGTCTTGTTGGAAATAAACATCGTCCATATCCATTCCTTCAAGTTGCGGCAAAAATAGTCCTCTATCATCACGTGATATCGCTCAGAATTGACGGTAACGGCGTCCCCGGCCGCATTTTCGAAAAAGTAAGGTCCGACGATGCCTTTTGACCACAATGCACACCACACCGTCACTTTTTGAGTATGCATCGGCTGCTCTTGATACTCACGGGGATTTTCGTGCGCCCAGATGCGGCAGTTTTGCTTGTTTACCGTCCCATTCAAAGTGAAATGCGCTTCGTCGCTAAACATGATTTTTGATGAAAAATTGGTATCAATTTGGCGGTGTTCAAGGAGCCAATCTGAGAACGTTCGGCGCGAAAAATGGTCGGCCCGACGCAGCTCTTGCGTCAATTGGATCTTGTAGGCGTGTACATTCAAATCCTTGTGGAGAATGCGGAGCAAACTGGTTCTTGAAATGCCCAATTCTTGGGATCGACGCGTTGTTGATTGTTTCGGATCGTCTCTCACACTCTCCTTCACAGAACCTGTTGCCTCGAATTTACGCACCAGATGACCGATGATTGTTTCGTTTGGGCGGTTGTTGCGACCGAAATGTTCACGAAGCGCGCGAAACGAGTTTTTTATTTTTGCACCATTTTTGTAGTGCTCTTGAATAACTTTAATGCGGTCTTCAATCGAATACGACTCCATAGCGATCAATGGTAAACATTCAACTAACAAAATGACATGTCGGTGACAGAAAACAAAGATGGCGTCTATGTCAAGTTGACGTTTACTTTCCTGCGTCCCTATTGGACAACCCTTTACTTGCCACCTTTAAATGCACGCAAGTCTAAAGAAGAACGTTTCAGACAGTTTGGGATGCTATTGTTGACTGGTATTTTGGAGTGTATATATATTATTGATATTAATTATTTGAGTTGTTAGAGTGAAATGGCGAGGAGAAATATCGAGCAGATCATCATGGCGGAACCTTCCTGTATTTAGATTTATACGAGGACCAAGTTACTTGCTAGGTACATAGGTCTCTTGTAGATGATTATTTCGTGTATAAAAACTAGCATTAAATACTCAAAAAGATGTTTGAGCTTCAGCCACACTAATTCACAAATCTTAGATGTCACACCGCTGTATGGTGTATCTGAAGTCACTTGAAATAGCATAAAAACCTTTGGTCGGCGCGTCCTTTGTAATTTCATGACGTATCATAGGCGTGCGGCATTTATTTAGAACGATAATAATAATGTTTTTATATCACAATAAATGGATTTTACTATCTTCTTATTTTTTTGATTTGGGATAAAAAATACTTATATTGGGAGTTTAATTTATGTTGACTGAAAGTTAAGAAATGGAAAAATTACAGAATTCCAACGTTTGACATAGGCAAATATTTACATAGCAGGTAGGTATATAAAAAGGTATATAAAGACTTACATTATAGGTATTTATATATCATCCTCGCCTTCGGAGCTGTCGCTTGAGTCATCTTGTAGAGGAATTACAACGGGATTTACAGGAGGCAAAACACAATATTCATTTTCTTTTTCAATAATATGCCTAGAACACTGCTTCCATAGGTCTGTGGCAGCAATATGAGATACTGCATCTCTTATTGTGGCCAAGAGCGATTCACTTAATTGAGGGGTCTGATTATGTTTTCTTACTTTTTTTTAAAGCAGCCCAGACCAGCTCAATCGGGTTAAAAATGCAGTAATAGGTAGGTAAACGTAATACTTCATGGCCATTTTGCTGAAGCAGATTGTCAACAACATACTCTTTTTCAAATTTTTGTCTTTTAATAAGATCCAATAATATGGCATTGGTTGATTTTTGTGCTATTTCCATTCCCTTATCCTTCATAAAATCAATAATGTCTTGTTTTTTGTGCCTGTATTCGGAATTTTGTTTTTCTGTCGGGAATGGTATGGCGCATTGTCCATAATAATCACTGAATTTGGGGAAATGTTTGGTATTAACTGCTGCTCTATCCACTTTTCAAATAAGTCGGAGGTCATGTCCTCATGATAGTCGGCACATGATTCTGTGATATTTTTGGCAGATAACAGCAAGGCATTAGGTATAAATCCATTTTCACCGCCAGCATGGAGAATAATGATTCGTTTTCCACGGTTGCGTGGTGCATTTAAAATGCACTTGTTGCTGTCGTCAACCCAGCCGTACTGCACAACATCATGGGTGCAAAAATTCTTGGCGCAATTCAACGATTCGAGACGACTCCATAATCACCATTCTTTTATCTAATTTTTTGTATTGAAAACCACACAGTTTTACAATACAGTGCAGTGAGTCTAAGCATTTGTAATTATAAAAATCTTCAGGATAATCTTTTAATTTATCCCGTATCATTTCCAACGTGGGCACCAAATTTTCTTTATAAAATCCGTATATTATACGACGAATATCTTCCTGAAAACCCACGTCTATTCTTTCTAATTTTTGCCCTATGCGCTTTCTGTGGAAGGAATGGTTGACTACATCTCCCCTTTTTATAACCCGATAAATGGTAGACCGACTGATTTTTGTCAGGATACAAATTCTGTTTAAAATTTGATTTTGCGAGGAATCTGGATTTTCGTTTTTCAGACAATCATACATATTTAGGATTACTCTTTGGGTCTGTTCCTCTAAATCTTTATGAAAGAATTCTGCCTGCACAGGTTCATCAACCATCTCCTCGTGGTTTGGAGCATTTTCCCAAGGTCTCCAAAGAGCCATATTTAGGACACACAAGAACAATCAACACAACAATTAAATCAACAAGTAAACTGAGTATTCAAAAGTCAAAAACACACAAACTAATAAAATCTATGAAAAAACACGGACAGACTAAAGAAAACACGTTTATTCACCGCTACACGGCACTGGCTAAACTGTTTCAATTTTCAGTAGCTACCTGCACTTGTTCGGAGCTCTGAAATACACGCTTTCTCATTGGCTATGTCCACGCATAGGCGTGCTTTACTCCATGTGGACCGGTGAAACTGCCTTTGATCTCTTATACGGGGGATATTTGCTGCGAAATTTGGCGATTTTTGCAGCAACAGAGCGTGTTAAATATAGATATATAAAACGCACCCGGTATTTCACAGTGTTTCAAGTGACTTCAGATAAAGTATACCTACGAAGACCGTAAACAAAATGACAGCAACAATTTTGTGGCAAAATAAAACAGGTGTTCTGCAAATCCGAACTTACCTATTTTTTATATGTCAGTTCGATCCTGCGCTCCTTCTTGGCAGGAAATTTGTCGATCACATTCCCGTTGAAATTTTCCATGGTCGAAATAAATTCCTTTTCAATGGACAGCATCGACAACGCTGTAAGGCGATCCTGGGTCATAGTATTACGAAGAAAAGTCTTGATTTTTTTCAATCTCGAAAAATTTCGCTCAGCCTCTGATGTTGACATAGGAGTTGTAACAATAATTTCTAATAGCTTTTTTGTTCCTTTTAGTGTTTCCGCCAAACTATTTTGTATCAAAAATTTCAAAAGAGACACAGTTCCATGTAAATTTCGGCAATCATTCCGTGCATAAATAACAGACAACCCTGTCTTTAAACGACTTTTTTCTAATTCGGGATAAGCCAAGCAGGTAGTTTCCAACTTGTCATCAGGAAACTTACCACAGTATTCTCTAAAAAAGGGATGCGGCTACCAAATGATCTTTGAAATGAAATCTGTCATTTGCAGAATTCACTATATTGTCGCATGCTTCCAATGCGGCAACTCGGTGATCGTGACTGCTATTGTTACGTCGTCTCCTTTTGTTGCCTTGGGGTTCAGCGCAAATACTTTTGGCTTCATTTATTATGTCATCAATTCTATTTCTCACATCGACAATACATTTTTCAAAATTATCGATAGCCGCTTTAACTTGCGCTGGCTCGGTTTTTCTCTTCTGCAACTGGCTGAACAAGATGTCGACGTGAGGCATGACATGATGAAAAAGTGTCAACCAAAACACGAAAACAGAATCGCTTAACATACGGCGAATACCGCAAGCTCATTAGTGAAATTTTCTTCTATTTCTTCCATGCATTCAATGAGTGATTCTCTGTTCTCAAACACTACATTTATTGTTCGAATATTGAAATTCCAACGAGTTGTTGCTCCTTGGGTAATTTTTTCCCCACATTTCTGTTCAGTACCTCTACGCGTAGAGGAGAATTATTAAAAAATCCCGGAATATCTTTCATATCCCCAAAGAACACCCGAACTTGAGCATTTGCGGAAGCAACTTGGGACATAATCAGGTTTAACTGACGCGCATAGAAATGCACATAGTGAGTAAATTCTTTGTTTAATTTTTGCCTGCATTCCAGCATTATGTCCGCTCATTACCGCGGCTCGATCATAGCTTTGTGAAATCAGTTTGTTAGGGAAATTTCCTATTAATGGATCTACGACTGCTTTTTCAATACAAAATAGACTCGACGCTGTGTCTTGCGGGGGCAGCGTTGCCGGTATTGTTTCTATTTGTGCGATAACATGGTAAATAAATGATGATCAAATTACTACTGCTTTGTTCTGTTAAGAAAAAAGTTTTGGCAGTTCTGCAGCCCTTAAAGGGCAGCCGCCCCTGGTTTTGATATCCCAGCAATATGGTTTTCAAATCAAAAAGGATCAAAGCAGTCTAGACATAACCAAACTCTCTACTATGTTTTGCGAATCTTGAAATCGAGGATAGAACGATCGGAATGTAGGAGCCTCAAACTTGCGTATGTAGCTTTCAATATATTACTGATGTGGTGATGAAGTCTAATATTTAATCTAAAGTGACACCTAAACTTTTTGCATGTGTGCTCAGTGGAATACGGTACAGCTTGATGCTTAGATACGCCAACTAAGGTTTAGCATTGAACACGTTTTCTCCAGTGTGCGTGCTCAGTCAGCTTCAAACCGTTCTTGGATCTGGATATACAGGGTGTTTCAGTTTATTGTTGCATAACTTTAAGATTCGATAGATCTTTTAAAATTAATGCATAAAGTCTATATAGACATGGGTCGAAAAATGCGTGGCTTCCGAAATACAGGGTGTTTAAATTTACTTTCTAAAATAGTTTTTTTTTAAATATTTCGAACAATATTTGATGTATAACAGTGAAAATTGGTATACAAGGGTTTTTTGGTACGACAAAACGAACCATGGGCATAGTTTTACTGTAGCTGCTAGAGGGCGCTCTCTACTGTACCTGTAGTGTATTAAAATGACCGAAAAAATTTTCTTAGTGCAATTTTTTGCTTTTTGAATAAAAAAACTGATTCTTCGCTCTTTTCAACATAAAAAAGCTCTCTTGTGAACTTTCGTTATAGTTAGCCGTTTTTGAGATATTTCGATTTTTAAGGTTCGATGCATTTTTAATTACGATATTTATGATAAAATAACGTTAAAAAGTCAGTATCCCGATAATTTTTAGAAGTAGGCTGTGCCTGCAAATATTTTTGAAATTGAAAGCAGAATAAGGTTAAACGTCAATTAGTTGACAGTTAGTTTTGTTGTCTGTTGAAACCTGAAAAGTTTGTTTGCAATTAGTGAATGCACGAAATTTAGTTTCTTTTACCTGTTTTTTTTGTAAGTTTTATAAAAATGCCATTGTTATTCTCCAACCAAGAGTTAGCTGATATTCATTTTGTGTATGGCTTTGTAAATGGAAACGCAGCAGAAGCAGCCAGAGAATACGCACGAAGATTTCCAAACAGACGACATCCAACTCGCTCAGTATTTGTAAGAGTGCATCGCCAAATAATTGAAAATGGTTTTGGAAATCTCCAAAGGGATCAAAACATTTATGTTCGTCAGCGCAGATTTACCTGTATGGTTCTGCGTGAGTTTGATAGAGATCCGACCACAAGTGTTAGGAGAGTTTCTGGTGCCTTATGAATTTCAGCAAGCCATGTTCACCGTGTTCTTAGAAATGACCACAGATGTCCTTACCATTTGCAACCTGTGCAAGGAGTACAGACAGGGGACGGAGAACGAAGAATCACATTTTGTCAGTGGATTCTTGATAGAACTGATAATAATAGGGAGTTTTTAAGTAACGTTTTATGGACCGATGAGTCATGCTTCACTAGACGTGGAGTGGTAAATTTTCATAATCAACATATTTGGTCGCATGAAAATCCGCATGCAGTTCGGGAAAGAAATTTTCAGCATGAATTTAGTGTGAACGTGTGGATTGGTATCTACCGTAATCGACTATTTGGACCCTACCTTTTGCCTGCAAGGTTAAATACTGCGATCTTCTTGGAATTTTTAAAGGCTGAACATCCAAATATGTGGGATGATGTTATGTTAGATTTAAGAAGATTGGCCTGGTTCCAGCTTGATGGTTGTCCAGCTCACTATTCGAGAATAGTTAGAAACTGGCTGGACGAAAATTATCCAGAAAGATGGATCGGCCGTGGAGGACCAGTCGCCTGGCATCCACGATCCCCTGACCTAAATCCTTTAGATTTCTTTGTGTGGGGATTTCTAAAAGAAAAAGTGTACCAGACTCCCGTAACCACAAGAGATATGCTAATAGACAGAATCAGGAATGCATGTGATGAAATAAGGCCTTATTTGAATAAAATGCTATACCACGTTCGATCATTCGTAGATGTGAATTGTGTATTGAACAATTGGGTTTACATTTCGAGCAACTACTTTAGATTTTGTATGTTTGTCCTAACTATCCAATAGCATTTTAGTTGTAAATAATTAATTTAATTTGTTAAAAATAATATTGGAAAATTAAACAAATTAATATTGTTTTTTGTGTTTATTTGGAGTTAGAAATTATTGCTGTGTTTAAAAACACAATCTAAACGATCATCTTAATTACTTGTAATGCCCAAATCGAAAATGTAAAAAAAATATTATTTTCCCATAAATAAGTAAAAATGCATCGATCCTTAAAAATCGAAATATCTCAAAAACGGCTAACTATAACGAAAACTCACAGGAGAGCTTTTTTATGCAGAAAAGTGCGAAGAATCAGTTTTCTTATTCAAAAAGCAAAAAATTGCACTAAGAAAATTTTTTCGGTCATTTTAATACACTACAGGTACAGTAGAGAGCGCCCTCTAGCGGCTATAGGAAAACTATGCCCATGGTTCGTTTTGTCGTACCAAAAAACCCTTGTATACCAATTTTCACTGATATACATCAAATATTGTTTGAAATATTTAAAAAAAACTATTTTAGAAAGTAAATTTAAACACCCTGTATTTTGAAAGCCACGCATTTTTCGACCCATGTTTATATAGACTTTATGCATTAATTTTAAAAGTTCTATCGAACCTTAAAGTTATGCAATAATAAACTGAAACACCCTTTCGATCTATTAAAATATCCGTTATCCTCTTCTGCCGGTCCAATACCGTCTTGATGCGGCCTCTGTCTTCCAGCAATTAAGACCTGCATGACAGCTGACATATTTTACGACTCAAACACCCCTGACGTTCGCTCGCCAGCATCGGCGGTCATCATTTTATGACCTTACAGCGTCTTGTACCGCGTCATTTTTTGCTTGTCCTTCCTGGTGGACATTTCGAATGGAAAAAGTCACCACAGACCGCAGCGAGCGTACGACAGTAAACGTCTCTGGTTGGCCGTATTTCATCGGTGATGCTCGCCACCTATAAACGTCCACGGGAATTTCTCCGCGTGCATCTACACGCTGTATATTGTGACCAGGGTCACGTTCTTGAAATAATAAGTGCACCTTTTTTCTTTTACTGCCTACACCACTGGGAGAGGAGGTATTGTAAACGCGAGAAATGTCTAAAATGATATTGTGTTTTTTTTATATTATATGATCTTCACCTTTTGCTATATGATTATGTAATAACAGCTTAATTAGGTCTTGTTGATCGGACAGAAGACAGTATGCTAGTTTTTAAGCAAAATTAGAGGGTCTGTGTTTGAACAAAAAAGAACTTTCATTTTTTTGGGCCACCCTATTGCTTACTTATTCTTCATATTGTTATTATTCATCATAAAGTAAAAATTACCGTTACTACCTGTACACAACAGCGGTATTATTGATAAGTTGACCTATAACCTGAGTCATCGCTGATAACGCAGACCATATGCGCCATTGGTATCACGACCCACAGTTAGTAACATCCTTGCAAAAAATCTAAGCAGACGGCTGACTTAGGCCACGGTTTGTTAACGGCTCTTCCTTTAGAAATGTCGTTTGTCTTCCGGTATCATTCTGTAAGTTTATGGCTTGTTAACCTTCCTAAACCTCTGCCGTGAGACGGTGGCGTAGCGGAGACGTGCTTTGCGCATCGAATATAGCCGACCATACATTGCATTCCATAATTCAGTTTTATAAGCATCCGACAGCAGTTTTTATGAAGGTTTGCTTTGAGACACAAGAGCAACGTCAACAGGAAAAGGTCAGATATATACTAAGTGACATATAAATCCGAACACCCAGTTTAAATGGTTTTATTTTAATAAAATTTTGTATAAGTACTTAATGAAGCATAATAAGTAAATGATAAAAATTTCAAAATGATTGCACTGCTTTAAAGCCCTTTGACCTTTAAGAATGTGTGGATGCACCCTGATGTGCTACGCATTCTCCAACGCGCCTAGGCATGCTTCTGATCAGGTGGTCAATGTCCTCCTGTGGTATCTCATTCCAGGCAACCACCAACTCCTCTCGAAGTGCTTCTAGAGTCTGAGGAGGACGTTGCAAATTGAGCAATCTCCTATTCATCATATCCCACACGTGCTCAATTGGGGATAAGTCGGGAGTCTATTGTGACTCTTGCAACATGTGGTCGGGCATTATCTTGTTGGAAAGTTGGATCTGCCAGGGTGTCAAGATAGGGTAAAAGATGGGGTTCTAGAACTTCGTGGATATAACGCTGCGCATTCATGTTACCTCTGATGAAGATTAAAGGTGACCTGGAACCATAAGCTATAGCACCCCA